TCTAGGGTACTTTAGGGGAGGAAATAATGGAATAATGTTGAATTTGGGCCAAAAATGATGGAAGGAGGCTTCAAATCGAAAAGTGTCAGAGGAACTACCCCCCCAAAACCACTCATTTTGAGTCAGATTATCATTTAATATTTGTACAAAGGTAGAAATTTGTATTTTGTGAAATTACACGCTTTTATAGGGAGTTTCGGCACATGACTCTCAGTAAAAAATTTGGTCGGCATTCGTCACCTACATAGATAAGAAGCAAATATACCGAGTTTGGGCACGATCGGGAATTTACACTTGCCTTAGTCCCCTTGTTAGCATCCCTATCCACCACCACGTGTCGTGGCTGCTGCTCCACAACACCCAGCCCCCAGGCCCCCCTCCCCTCCTCCTGCTGCACGCGGAGGCAAACCGGACGAATGACTTTCGACCGCCGTATTTTCAGTTGTCTCGTCTTGAATCACGTGCTGACGCGCATTTCACCGAGAGGTCCGGCCGGCCGCTGGATGCCATGGGCCATGGGGTCGCGGGGGCCCGCGCGGTGTCGCACAGGGGGACTGCCCTAAAGGGCCGCGCCCCGAAGGATAACGCCTTGGGCCTTGAACCACGAAAATAGAACGCGTCACGCCGGGCGCGGCCTGAGGGCTGGGGGGACCCGACGTGCCAAAAATCAGGCATGCTGACCCGCTCAGCCCCGCCACGCCTAGGCAGCCCCCGCCACGCCACGCCACGGTCCGTACCGTTCAGCCGGGTCGCGGCACGGCCGTGTGCTGCGCTGCGACTGACGGGGACCCGTTCATTCACCTGTTCCTCCCGTGTTTTCGTTTTCGTGCTCTCCAAGTTGAAAGTGACCGAGACGGAGACGGCTGCATGCCGACGAGGCGCGCCGTTGCCTAACCGGCACCCCCAGAGAAAGTCGTCTGCAGTTTTGTTGAATTACAGATTGTTTGTTGTTCGTTGTTTTCCTTCACTTTTATAGCTCACATGTAATATAGGAGCGTGTGTGTTTATTTTCCAAGGCGACAGTGCTTCGCATAGCCTGTTACGCACCTTGTCTCGAAAGAGAGACAACCATTCGGCATGGAGTTCGCGTGGTCTGTATCTCCGCCCGGTCCACGGTAAAAATATATTTAGTCTAATTTTTTTGAGGGGAAACCGAAAACTATGAGCGACTCCGATTTTTCGACGATAATTCCTCAAATTTGAGAAGTCTCCTAAACTCTGAATTGCCCTTATTTTTCGTGGGGATATCCCCCAAATTTAGGAGATTTCCTTTGACTGAAGAAGTTCTTTAAAATTTTCCCTGTTTTCCTCAAGTAAATCATTAGTTGTTTTTTCTTTTTTTTTTTTTTGCACCATGAGCGCTAGCGCGGGCACCAGGGAGCACTCGGCCCGTATCGCCACGTGTCTATATATTACTGGCCGGCACACGGGCAGCACTGCCGGTGCCAAAACCACTGTGGAAATGATGGGCCGTTGGCGGCCGCGCGAGGAGAGCCTGCGCGAGCGCGCCTGGCTAGTGTTGCGGGGAGCGGGGCTGGGCTCCTCGCGGCCGCGGACGGCCCACCTCAAAGGCTGCCCGCTCCGCCCCAGTACATCTGCACCTCTCTGCCCCGTGGACTCGTCGGCGAGAGCATGCTGACAGCTTCCTCGACCCGATTTGAGGCCGATCCTTTAACATTCGAGCACGTTGCATCTGCATTGCACGTTTTGTTCGAGCTCCCCTCCTCCCACGGCATTGCGTTCCTCAGAAAGATTGGTGCGTTCGCAATCTGATCCATACATCATTGGATTTCCCCGGTCCGATCTCCCTCCAGCGAGCGCAGCAGCCTCACAAGCTGTGCGTGAAACGTGTTGTGGCGATGACTCACTCATTAACGTTTTGTGCCGTCGCGGTTCGCGTTTGGGCCGCGGTGACTGCCCCCGCCCATGTAAGATAACTCGGGCCTCGCTCGGGACGCAAACAGGCTCTCTGCCGAGGGCGGCGGCGGCGGCGGGCGCTCCGTGTGGCTGTGCGGCTGCACCGCGGCAGAGTACGAGAAGTAATTGGGTCATCGTCATGCCGAGGAGGGGTGGCCGCAGTCCGCTAACCAGCCAGATAAAAAGCCCCGGCATGTGAGTGTGTGTGTTTGTTCGTGCGCGCCAGGGACGGAGATAGGATCTCTGCCATAGAGTCCCGCCCGAGCCCGCGCGGCGCCGCACACGAGAGGGAGGGAGACGG